CTGTCTGATGCCCAGGTTCAGGATATCTAATGCGAGATGCAGAGGAACTTGGAGTGGGAGGGTAAAAATCCAATTGTTGTTGTCCATGTAGGTGCCAACGATATAGGTAGAAAGAGGAAAGAGGTTCTGCTGAAGGAATATGAGAGGCTAGGTGCCAAATTAAAAAGCAGGACTAAAGTGGTAATAATGCATGATTACTACCTGAGCCACAAGCAAATGGTACAGCGTCAACAACATTTTAAAAAGTCAACACAGGTACAATTTTGTGGGTATCACAGAGATATGGCTGCGAGGGGATCTGGGCTGGAAAGTAAACATTCAAGAATTCCTGTCCTATTGAAAGGACAGGCAAAAAGGGCAGAGGAGGTGGGGTTGCCTTGCCAGTAAGAAATGGAAATAAATCAACAGCAAGAAGAAGTGTAGAGTCGGAAGGTGTAGAATCTGTGTGGGTAGAGTTGAAGAATCGCAAAGGAAAGAAGACCCTGACTGGAGTTATGTAGCAGTGTTCAGGACATGGGGAAGAAAGTAAATCAGGAGATCAAGAACATAAGTAAGAAAGGCACTAATGCAATAATCATGGGGGACTTCAATATACAGGTGGATTGGGATCAGGTTTGTAGCAGATCTCATGAAAAGGCATTTGTACATTGTCTACGAAATGGTTTTTGGAGCAGCTTGTGGTAGACCCCATTAGGGAACAGAAAATTCTGGATTTGGCGATGTGTAATGAGGCATTTATTCAGGGAGTTTAAGGTGAAGGAACCCCTTGGGGGCAGTGACTATAATATGACAGAATTTACACCACAGTTTAAATGGGAGAAGCTGGGTTTAGACGTAACATTATTACAATTGAGTAAAGGTAACCACAAAGACACGAGGGAGGATCTGGCCAGAGTAGATTGGAAGGGGATCCTAGTGAGGAAGACAGTGAGGCAGCAACGGTAGAAGTTTCTGGGGATAATTCAGGAGGCAGAGCAGAAATTCATCCCAAGGACAAAGAAACATACCAGGGGGAGGATGAGGCAACCATGGCTGACAGCGAATGTCAGGGACAGCAGAAAAGCAAAAGAAAAAGCATACAACATGATGAAGGTTAGTGGGAAGTCAGAGAATTGGGAAACCTTTACAAAACAGCAGATGATAACGCAAAAGCAATAAGGGGTGACAACATGAAACATGAGGGTAAAATAGCTGATAATATAAGATTTCAAGAGTTTTTTTTAAGATAAATAAAAAGGAAGAGAGAGGCAAGAGTGAACCTTTGACCACTGGAAAATGAGGCTAGAGAGGTAGTATTGGAACAAAGGAATGGTGGAGAAATTGAATAGGTACTTTACACTAGATTCCAGAGAGAAACACACCAGAACTTCTCTCACCCCTGCAATCTGGTTGTCTCAGAAGTCACACGACACCAGCTCATATTCCAACAGGTTTATTTGAAATTACAAGCTTTCAGAACTCTGAAAGCTTTGTTTACTCCCAGTCCAGCACCAGCACCTCCACACCCTGACTTTGGTAGTGGCCACCACTAAGGCACAGTTGCTGGGAATGCGGAAAGATCTGAAGGTGGATAAATCACCTTGCCGAAGTTCCGAAAGAGATAGCTGAGGAGATTGTACAGGTACTGTAGAGGTGGTGATCTTTCAGGAATCACTGGAGTCATGGAGGGTCCCAGAGGACAGGAAAATGGCTAATATAATACCTGTTTAAGAAGGGAGGGAGGCAAAAGATGGAAAACTCTCTAGGCTGTTTAGTCTGACCTCAGTCGTTGGTAAGATTTTAGAGTCCATTATTAAGGATGAGACTACAGATTACTTGGAAGTTTGTGGTATAATAGGGCTGATCAGCTTGGCTTTATCCAGGGGAAGTCATGCCTAATAAATCTGTCAGAATTCTTTTGAAGATGTAACAAGCAAGTTACATAAAGGAGAGCCAGTGGACATGACCTATTTGGATTCCCAGACGGCCTTTAACAAGGTTCCACACAGGAGGCTGTGAAATAATATAAGAGCCCATGCTGTTAAGGCAAGGTACTGGCATGGGTAGAAGATTAACTGACTGGCAGAAAACAAAGAGTACAGATAAAGGGGTTCTATTCAGATTAACAGCTGGTGACTAGTGGAGTTCGACTGGGCTCAGTGTTGGGACCACAACTACTCACGCCTCACATTAACGATCCAGACGAAGGAACTGAGGGCATTGTTGCTAAGTTGCAGATGATACAAAGGTGGATGGACAGGTAGTGTTGATGAGATGGGGAAGTTGCAGAAGGACTTCAACAGGCTAGGAGAGTGGGCAGAAAAATGGCAGATGAAATACAATGTGAGAAAGAGTGAGATTATGCACATTAGTGGGAAGCGTAGATGTGTAGATTATTTTTTAAATGGGGAAAGATTTTGGAAATATGAAGCACAAAGGGACTTGGTGGTTAGGAAGGCAAATGCAATGTTAGCATTCATTTCAAGAGGGCTAGAATACAAAACAGAGATGGTGAATTTACATGAGGCTGTGGCCAGACCTCATTTGGAATTTTGTGAGCAGTGTTGGGCCCCGTATCTAAGGAAGAAAGTGCCGGCCTTCGAGAGGGTTTAGAAGAGGTTTATAGGAATGATCCCAGGGATGAAGGGCCCCGGGAGCATGTGAGGACTCTGGGTCTGTGCTCAATGGAGTTTAGGAAGTTGAGGGGGGATCTGATTGAAACTTACAGAATACTAAGGGACCTGAATATGGTGGACATGGAAAGACTAGGATCCGAGGGCACAGACTCAGAGTAAAGGGACAACCTAGAAATGAGATCAGGAAGTATTTCTTCAGCCAGAGAGAGGCGAGTCTGTGGAGGCCAAGTTATTGAATGTCTTTAAGACAGAGATAGACAAGCCCTTGATTAGTAAGGGGATCAAGGATTATGGGGGTGGGGTGGGAGGGTGGGTAGGAGAACAGTGTTGGGAAACATATCAGCCATGGTTGAATGGCAGAGCCATCTCATTGGGCTGACTGGCCTAATTCTGCTCCTGTATCTTATGGTCTAAATAGTATCAGTTATTCCATCACAGACACAAAGTTGACACATTTCAAATGTTTTCTTAATGACAGTAACTGGATCAAGGGAAAGATTATGCTCATCAAAAGCTACTGCTATTTTTGGTTTTAAACTGCATCATTGTTTCACAATGTAATTGTCTGCCCTGTTTAGCTGAGCTGGTGATGTTCACCCCTTTGAATCAGAATGCCGTGGGGTCAGGTCAGACTTTAGGAATTGAGCACATAACTTAAACTGACCTTCAGTGACATACTGAGGGAGAAGTGGATTATCAATGGTGTCATTTTGTAATGCAACATTAACCTATGACATGCATCTTTATGTTCCACATAGAACATCGTTCTTTCCTGGTATTCTGGTCAACTCTGTCACCATAACTGACAAAAGCATATTCGCGTCCATTCATCAAATGTGCAAAAGATCCTAGTGTTACACTTGCAATTTCTCAGCGCTGACTCCTTATGAGGGTTTCATGCTGTGAATACTTTTGGAAGATCACACACAGGAAATGGCCAAAATCCTTATCTGCTAATTGCAAAATCTCTTTACATGTAATTTGGTTATGTTGTTTTAAGGATATAACTAACTGCATTTCAAAACTAATGAATTTGTCATGACAAGGCTGGGATGTCCTTTGAATGTCTTTCCTATCTAGTTTAAGTATTGCTTTCAGTTTAATGCTCCATTAGATAATTTATCTACACAAATCAGAAAAGATTTACCATGATGTTGTGGGAATGGAGAATTTGAGATATTAAACTGGAAAGACTAGGACTTTACTTCAGTGGAGCACAGGGGGTTGGGGAGTGACCTTCACTGAGACTTATAAAATCATGAGGGATATAAATAAAGTGAATGACAAGAGTCTTTTCCCTAGAGTGGGGGATTTCAAAACTAGGGATCATATATTTAGGGTGCGAGGAGAAAGATTTAAAAAAGGGTATGAGGCAACTTTTTTTACACAGAGTCATTCTTGTATGGAATGAGATGCAATAGAAAGTGGTGGATGTAGGTACAGTTACAACTTTTAAAAGATATTTGAATAAGTTTCTGAATAGGAAAGGTTTGGAGGGTAATAGGTCAAGCACAGACAGGTGGGACTAGTTTACTTTAGGAACATGGTGTGGACTAGTTGGACCAAAGGGTCTGTTTACATGCTGTATAACTCTATGACTGTTTTAACTGTACTTCCAATTTATTGTTATTTAACCCAATAACTTTTGTTGAAGAAATTAACCTTGTTTTATGAGCATTCAAATTAATGCAGGTGAAATGGTCAAGTCATGTACTTCACTATTAGTCTACATTTGGTAAAAAAAATTAGAGGATTGAGCCTCGTAGGAATTCAAATGTTATTTCTGTCTCCACACTGATATTTTGCTGCCTGAACTTTACTTGTAAGTAGCCATCAATGGCTCTGATATGTATAATTTAACATCACCTGTCTTCCACATTTCTATAATAAAACTTGCTAGACAGACAGACCAATGAGTATCATAAAGTCAAATGATACGGAATAACGTGGAGTAGGTTTTGACCATTTTTTTCCCATTCACACTCATCTGTTAATTAGGAGCACACATATAAAAGAGACCAAACAAGATTTTTACGATAGCCAGTGACAGAAAATGAATAATATCAGTTTTTTTTTCCCTAATTGATGAAAATTAGCACACATGGTACAGAAACCTAATGGAGATTTGGGTGCACAGATCTCCAGGGCCTAAATTCTTAGTCTGTGATCATGTTGTGGGATGTTCTACACTGGAGGCACTAACTCATAGTGTTTATTTTCCAAGCTATATTTGGAGTGTAAATGAGAACCATCAAACAAGTTATTACTTGTACATGAGAAGAAAAAGATTCCACTATTTCATACTTTGTAACTTTTTTGAGTTTCAGGTAGCCCTATTGTTTGGGAGGGGAGAAGGACTGTGAATTTAAGATCTACAGAACACCATCCCAACCCTGGAATAAGAAGGGAAGTTCTTACTGGAGATCACGTTACCACAAAAAAGCCACTGTCATCAGGTAATGAAAGAGGATAAAATGACTTGGCACTTCACAACTGGGTTTGTGTTACTGGGAAGTATAGAAAGATGGATTTCACTACCATAAAATTAACAAGTTACCAGGGCCACACTTTCAGCAGAATGACATCTCACATACTTTCAAGTATGTTCACTGTTCCAGAAGAGAGGTTTGACTATATTATCAGGCAAACAAGCCACGAACTTTAAGAGTACTACAGTTGTGAAAGTCTTTGCCAGGGAAATCTTCCATTTTGCTTTCACTCTGCATATGTAATATCTGAACATTTGAGGGTGTTTGAGTGTTGAAACACTCCACAGAGCAGATATTATGGATATTATATTGCTGGACAAGACTGCCCCTTCAGCCATGTCTTCAACGTGACCCTTTATTACAGCAACAATTCCAAATATGTGTTTTGTTCAGCTCAGGGGAGTTGTTTGGCTGTGCCAGTCAGATTCATGGGGGTAACTTCCGTGTCTGTCTTATATATGCCGAATATAGTGGGGTTTTCTTAAGGATAAAAAAAAATTGACAAATATACTTAGATTTTTGAAAAGCCTTTGGAAAAATATTCCTCATATAAGGCTCATATGGAACCTCACAGAACAGTTGACAAATTTGTTAAATGGATTGCAATCTGCTTTTGCAAAAAAAATTGATGATAAATGATAATTGAATGTACATGCAGCAAACTCCATTTTCCTGGAAAAACTCCAAAGAATAAAATAAGGCAAGAACAACATTTTCCTGTTTAGTGCTCTGTAAGATAAGACATCAATAGTTAGTGTAGAAGCCTATGAATAAAAATAACAGTCATGACTTGTGGGTGGAATGGGCTTGATGGACTGAATGGATTTTCTCACTCCAGATCTTTTTTTCTGTTCTTATCTAAACCTAAAGCAATCTATACAGTGTATGATATAACAAGGTGTAGAGCTGGATGAACACAGCAGGCCAGGCAGCATCAGAGGAGCAGGAAAGCTGACGTTTCGGGTC